ATTTAGACAGATTTGTGAACAATATTTGAGAGAAATAGGTCTTTTGTGTACATAGAAAAAGTCTTAGATCTTTGAGTTCAGCTCATGAAAAATGGGGGCAAAAACAAAAGTGTTGCGTTTATAATTTTGTTCAGTGTATTTTAGTTTTACTGATAACTGTTGAAGAGACTAATTAAAATAGCCAATTTTGCTCAATTGTTTGCCAATAAGTATGCATTTTACAAGAATACACTACTGTTCAAAAGTTTGGGTTTGTTAAGATTTTTTAACATTTTTATAAAACTTTTTTTTTTAATTAAAAAAAGACTGCATTAATTTGATTTTAAAAAATACAGTAAAAATGTTGTAAAATATTATTACAATTTTAAATAACTGTTTTATATTATAATATATTTTTAAGAGCAATTTATTACTGTTACTTATTTACCACAAAACTGAATTTTCATCAGCTATCAGTCTAGTGTTTTGTGTCACATGATCCTTCAGATATTTCTAATATGCTGATTGGGTGCTGAATTTTATTTCTTTATTTTGTACTTCTAAACTGTGCTTGGCTAAAGCTGACTTTGAGAGGATAAATAAACTGGTCTTACCCGAAAGGTCGATCCATTTTTGCTCAGAGAAGGAAAGCACCTGTTGGTTCATTAAGACCTGCAGCTCATCTACTTGGTCTCCGAGACGCACCTCGATGACATCAGAGTCGTTCTCCCTCACGGCCACCGAACTGAGTCGTGTCGCCATAGCAACAGTACCTGGAAGAACAGTGTTCTTAGCCCAGGTCTGATTCAATCCATCCTTAATACGGAAGCTTGCAGAACTCACCGTTCTCAAATCTCATTGGTTCAGTCCTGCCTTGCACAGACAGCTCATGGTCTGAGGAGTAAACCAGAATGTACTCTCCTTTCCCATTGAAGGTGAAAGTCACACCATCGAATGTCATAAAGTGGGGGTCACCAAGTACAGCAGCTAATGAAAAGAAGGGATTATTAAAATATAAAATACTTTAAAATAAAAAGCATTAAATAAAACTATAAAATAAAATAAAATAATAAAAAGCATGAAATAAAACTACTAAATAAAATAAAATAAAAAATATAATAAAAAATATTAAATACAATTTCAAAATAAAATATAAAAAATTAAAAGCATTAAATAAAACTATAAAATAAAATAAAAAATAATAAATAAAGTTATAAAATAAAATAAAAAGCATTAAATAAAACAATAAAATAAAATAAAAAGCATTAAATAAAACAATAAAATAAAATAAAAAGCATTAAATAAAACAATAAAATAAAATAAAAAGCATTAAATAAAACAATAAAATAAAATAAAAAGCATTATATAAAACAATAAAATAAAAAGCATTAAATAAAACTATAAAATAAAATAAAAAACATTAAATAAAACTATAAAATAAAATAAAATAAAAAGCATTAAATAAAGCTTCAAATAAAATAAAATAAAAAT